GCTCTGGGTCTGTTCAGGATCCCGCAGCCTGGGATGTCTCATTCACTTGCCGGGCCTGCACTCTGGGTCTGTTCAGGATCCCTTGGCCTGGGTCGTCTCACTCACTCGCCGGGCCTGCGCTCTGGGTCTGTTCAAGATCCCTTGGCCCCAGGTCGTTTCACTCACTCCCAGGCCTATGCTCTGGGTCTGTTCAGGATCCCACAGGCCCTCGGTCGTCTCACTCACTTGCAGGGCCTGCGCTCTGGTCTGTTCAGGATCCCCGCGGCCTGGGTCGTCTCACTCACTCGCCAGGCCTGCACTCTGGGCCTGTTCAGGATCCCCGCGGCCCTGGGTCCTCTTATGTATTTCCTAAATTAAAAAATCACCATTGCAATCACTGAATTCTGAGCTGTCCTTTGTAAGTTTAATTTATTTTTTCCAGTAATTATTGTACATAAAACAACTCAGTTATTCTTAGAATGGAATCACAGATTCTAGATTTGGAAAAACCTGTTTTCAAAAGTTACCTACGTGAAGACTCTGACTGGACCCAGCCCACTTACTTATCTGGTTCAATCCAATTCTGATCCTATACAGTAATCCTGTCCTATATAATCATCACTCAAAGTTAGAGCTCAGAACTCACATTCATGAAGTTTGCATCTAAGGAGTTCATCCCTGACTTGAGGCAAGAGAGAACGGCTAGTTGGGCATGGTAGTGCATTCCTGTGATCCCAGCAAGTTGAGAAGCTGAGGTGGGCAGATTGCTAGCCAGTACAGAGACTAAACAATAAAATAATAAATAATAATAATTTTAAAAGGGCTCAAGATGTAACTCAGTGAGAAGGCCTTGGGCTTAGTCCTCTGTGTCATGAGCAGGTGAGACAGGATATGAATAACGCATAGTATCTATATGTGGCTGTGGTTGCTCAGTGTTCCTATGGGTAGCTGGCTGATGCCGAACTGTTACCTCCCCTCCCACTCACCAAATTTACACAAATTAAACTTAGAGTTTATTGAGCAAAGAAAGGTTCATGAGGTAGCTCTGAGATTCAGCTGACATTAGAGGCTCCCCT